AGGAATAAACAATAAAATTGGAGGATAGAAGCAAGATTTATACTGATCCAGATAAGTTGAGATTTAATAGAGATAAGTGTAAAAGTCTTGCATCTTAGTCCAAAAAAAGCAGTAATTAGAAAACGAGAGAGAATGTTTCAGTAGCAGTTCATGTGAAATGACTTTATTTGCGGGGGTGGGGTAGGGGTGGGGGTGGACAGGGACCGTTGAAAAGGAAGATCCTAGTTTACCGCTGGTTTGAAATAAACCAACAATGTAAACTTCTAAAAGGTCTAGCAGACATTTAGTAGATTCTTGGGTAGAATCCAGGGTTCAGTACAGGGAGGGTATCAGTATACTCCAAACTATTATAAAACAATGGCAATTTTGTGCTTAATTCTTCTGCCATGTCTTAAATGGCTTATTACAGCCCCGAAATGTATCTAGGAGAAGATGACCTGAATGAAGATAAAAATAACCTAGAAGGAAAAGTTGAGATACTGGAGAAGAGAAATCTTGTTGAAGAGTCTGACAATCTTCAACTGTTGCAGGATTGTCAGGCAAGAGAGGGATTCAGTTGTTCTAGGTTTGCATTAGTCATAACGGGTTAACTGTAATAACAAACAATCCCAGAAGAGTAAGCTTATTTTTATTCATGTGAAGTGGGGCTCTGATCCACATGGTCATGTAGAGCTATCTTTCCATCATGGAGCACCAATATGGAGATTCTTCCTCCTTGTCATTCAGCCAATAAATGAAAGGAGAGAAAGGTACAGAGGATAGCATAGGTTTTCTAAGGGTAGTGTCTCGAAGAAGTAAACACCATTCTGCTCACATTTCGATGACTAGAACTCAATCACAAGGTGGTACCTTACCACAACAAGGAAGGCTGGAAAATGTATTCTAACTGCGTGCCCAGGAGAAAAAGGCTGTGGGTGCGGGCTTTAGAATTGTAGATTTGGAAGAGACAACCTTAGGAGTGAGAAGAGTTAAGGATTGTAACATATTTACACAAAGACTTACACATGAATGGGTTCAGTGGCTCAGTCCTGTCCGACTCTTTGTGACCCCATGAACTATAGCCCGCCAGACTCCTCTGTCCATGGAATTTTCCAGGCAAGAATACTGGAGTGGGTTGCCATTCCCTACCTCATCCACATGAATAAAACAGACGTGACAGCATTATTCATAAAAACCAAAGGTTACCTATCGTCTAAATGCCCACAGACTGGTGAATGTACAGATAAAATTTGGTATATCCATACAAAGAAACACTATAAACAGAAGCGAATTACCAATATATGGATGAACTTCAACTACTGCATTGATGAACTTCAAGCACATTATGCTCAGTGAAAGAGGCCAGTCACAACGCCATATATTTTATGATTGCATTTATATGAAATATCCAAAAAGGGCAAGGCTATAGAGACAGTAGATTCAAGGGACAGGGTAGGAGTAGGTGAAAGGATATTAACAGTAAATGAGCACAAGAGGTTTCATTGGGGAGATAAAAATGTTCTAAACTTGATTAATGGTAATGGTTGTACAACTTGGTAAATTTACCAAAAATCAATTGAACTGTAAACTTAAACATGGTTAATTACATGATGACAAAATATGCCTCAATAATGTTATTTTTTGAGTTAAAAATTTAGTATTGTTTAGGTTGGGGGAAAGAGAATAATCCTACAAGGGAAATAATAAAGGATTATTCAAAGTGGAAGGAGGAAGTGATACAGAATCCAAGGGAAGAGAAGATTCAAAGAAGGAAAGCATGGTCAGTTCAACTCTAGTCAAAACTACTGAGAAGTCACATAAAATGGAAGGTTGATACTCTTGTCTGTCATAGTAAGGTTCACAGTATGGTTCCAGATCCAGAGACAGGAACATGGGAAACATGGGAAACAGATTTCCACTTAACAGTAAATGCAACCTTTAGAAATGTTTAACAACAGGACATATCCCATTGCTGAGTGATCCCATTGCTCTCTGACAGTGGAAATATTCAGAGAGAGGCTGGACGGGCATTTAGGAAGGATTTCTACGCCAGAGGAAGACTTCTAAGGAAATTTCAGTCTTTGAAAGACCCAGGGTATTCCGAAGACTTTATTACCTCTCTTTGCCCAAGGCCTCCTCTCCACTCTTGGCCTTGGGCTCCTCATCTCAGACACTGAGAACTGACCTTTGGGAAGAGCCCCTTTCCATAGTGGCTCTGACTCTTGAAACCCCAGGCACCCAACTGCCATCATCCAGAAGTTCTTCAGCCACTGAGAATTCCCTTGAGCTCAGAGGTCAGTGGTCATACAACAGCTGCTGCTGCTGATGCTGCTAAGTCGCTTCAGTCGTGTCCGACTCTTAGCGACCCCATGGACGGCAGCCTACCAGGCTCCTCCGTCCATGGGATTTTCCAGGCAAGAGTACTGGAGTGGGGTGCCATCTCCTTCTCCGCATACAACAGCAGGTTTCACCAAAGTTAGTGCAGAGAACTGAGTAATCTTGGGAGACCAGGGGAGATAAGCTGAACTGCCAGAAAGGACCAGTGCTCATTTTAAAACGTGCCAAAAGACCAATGCCACAGTTGTCTTTGTGTCTCTGCCTCACTCTCATCCAACACCCCCCAGAGGTAAAATACAGGAAGGAGAAGGTAAGCCCATCATATGAGTGGGTTCAAGAACTGAATGAAGCTTTCTTAATCAGAGTTTTGTTTGATACCCTTAGTCACCCACCAGGAATGGCCACCATGATGTAGAAATAAAAAACCAGCACCCAGAAGTTGGAAGAGCCTTTTTTTCAAAGGACTTGGAAAGCTGTGTGGAGTTTCTGCATGGCCCCAGTTGCCAATGACCATGACCGTAGCTGCTGGCATTGCTCCAGCGTGAACTCTATTCCATTGCAAAGGGGAAGGAGTCCTTCTTAGCAGACCCTGGAGCAGATGACAAGCTATGTTACTGCCTTCTCACCAAAACAGACACTCAAAAGGTGATTTATTTGCCCAGAAAATATTTGTGGGACACCTTCTACACGCCACACCGCCTCCCAGAGCCCGCAGTCTATTCATTCTGAAATAGAAGAAGAACTGCCCCAAAGTGCCAAGGGATGGGGATGGTTTTAATGTTTTTTCCAGAAGACAATGTAAGGGCTAGATGGCTTGCGGCAGTCCCATCCAGCCCTGGGAGTCATGACCTCTTACATTCACCCCAACAAAACCTGCCCCTGGACTTTAACGCTGTTTCCATGTTGACTGAGGAAGACTGGGCTGGATCCATTGGATCCCCAAGCAGAAAGGCTTCCCCATTTCCAGACCCTGGAGAAAGAGCCAGGCCAGGCAAAACCAGAGAGGGAAACTGCGGGGTGGGGGAGGGGAGAGGGCTGGACAGCGAGTGCCAAGTGCTGCAGACTGGGTGGGAAACCCAGGGGCAGGGGCAGGGGAGCAGGAAGGAGCCGCCCAGGCAGGAGCAGACTCCTGAGCTGAGGGTTGGGCAAGAGACAGGTCTGGCTCCTGGCGTACCTGCACTAATGAGCTGGAAGCAGGAGGAAATGGCCCAGCATGTGAAGGCCAGCAAAGGGAAGGGCCTCCCCATGCCAGCTGGACGGGAGAGGGCCGAGCGGGGTGGGCACAGGGCCCAGCCCCTCTCCACACCCTGAATTCTCAAACTGGAACCTGGAAATTCCAGAAGAAGGGACTTGGGAGGTGCAGGCAGATCAGGGAGGCTGAAATGAGACCTCCTGGGGGAAAGGGGATTAGAAAGATGCCGAGCTGCGGTGGCATGAGGGGAGAGAGAGCCAAGGGGCTGCACAGGCACCCTGCCAACCCTGGGGAGGGAAGAGGCCCCAGGGCGGTCGTCAGCTGTAGCTGAACACAGGCAAATCTGACGGTCGACTGACTTAATAAGGGCAGGCAGGATGGATGAGTCCTCCCAGTCCTGCCGGGGCAGCAGAAATGGCCACAAGTATTCACAGACTGTAAACACCAAGGGGGACGGGCCTTGTCTGGGTCTGCAGGGACCTGGCAAGGCCGAGCAGAGAGGGGCAAGGCCAGGACAGAGGCCTGAGCCTGGCATTCTCTGCAGTGGACTGTCTAGAGGCCCTGGATGAAGGGTCACTTTGGGAACCCCAAGGCCAGCTCAGAAAGCCCCACCAAAGCCAGAAGCTGGACATAGCCCCAGACAGGTCCCGCCTGCAGGGATCCAGGATATGGGGACTCGATGCTGGTATGTTTGTTTGAACCCTGGACACGGGCTTTCCAGGTGGCTCAGTGGTAAAGGATCCTCCTGCCAATGCAGGGAATGCAAGAGACACGGGTTCAATCCCTAGGTCAGGAAGATCCCCTGGAGGAGGAAATGACAACCCACTTCAGTATTCTTGCCTGGAAAATCCCATGGATAGAGGAGCCTGGTGGGCTACAGTCCATGGGGTCGCAAAGAGTCAGACGTGACTGAACGACTAAGTATGCATGCAATTTTGAAGTAGGGGAGCCCACTTTGCCTCCTAACACCAGGGTGGGGCCAGGGCAGTTGGACAAATACTCATGGAGCATCCACCTTAGTCTTTCCCATACAGGACCCTAGGACCCTTCCCAGTGGCATCCACAGGGACCTTCACCCCTACTCCTTTGCTGGCGTGGAAAACTTCTACCAGAGGCAGAAGCCTAGGGGTCCAGTCTGACTTTCTGTGTGCTCCTCGTTCAGCACTGGCTGCAGATTACAATCAAAGCGTCTCCTGTCTCTGGACCTCAGTTTATCCACCTGCAACATGAAGAGACTGCATCTGCTCTGTGCAAAGTGATTTTCATTGGTTATATAGCCTTTTGCTCAGCTTGTTGTTGCCATGGGAACAATCCAAGTCAAAAGGTGGATCCAGCAGAGAAGGTATCAATCAGCTTCTAGTTTGTGACTAAGGAGAGCTTCATAGTTTCGTCTACCCAGCACCCCTTCTCGCTTATTCTGGTATCAGCATCCATTTTCCTTTAGGTAACTGTCCTTCCACCTTCTATAGACCATTCTGATGGGGCAGCCAATCACAATACCGGCCATGTGGCACATGACCCAAACTGGCCAATCAGATTCTCTCCCATGATTTCACCCAGAGACCAACACTTTATAACTGGAACACTCAATCTCAGCTCCCCAAACAGACATATGCCAAAGGAGTTTCTGGGCCTGAGAACCATGTTGCTGCCTGAATTCCTGACCTTTCCGATACTTACCTGTTCAGTTCTTCTACTCTGTTTACTCCTAAAATCTTTCCGGTAAGTCTATTCTTTTTTTTTTAATGTACAAATTAGTCAGAGTCCTTGTTGTTGCTTGCAACCAAGGAATCCCTATTTATGCACAAACCAAGAAAGAAAAACTGGGTGGATTAGATGATGGGCCTCTCCTCCCTGCTGCCTTCTCTCTTTGTGGTCCCAGGGCAATTGACTCAGCTCTTCAGCAGCACTCAGCTCATGTAGGAGACATGGTGGGGTAGAGTCTGCTCAACAAGACCTCGAACATCAACTAAGCACCTTTGTATCCTGGATATGAATGGTTGAGGGTCTTGCACACTATAAATGCTCAGCTGCACTGAATTAAGATCTTACAGCTTGAAGCAGGCAACTGCAGTGGGAAAGAAATTTAACACGTATCAGAGCAGCTTCACAATTATCAAGATGTAAGCAACTGCAGGAGAAAGTCATTCCCACTGCATGCAAGTGATGAGTGTGGGGTGGGGAGTGGTCAGGACCCATTTCAGGGTGTTGGGGGAAGGCCCACTCTGTCCCCAAAGTGTCTCTCCCACCTCTTCGTGAGTACCTCTCACTCCTGAAACAAGAGACAAAGGCACTCAGTGAATATTTAGACACAGAGCTGGAAATCCATCTTCCCCTAGAAGAACAAGACAATGTTTTCATTCACTCTGAAGTGTAATGATGGGTGTAGACTCTTTCCTGAGAGCAGACCTGGATAGGAGAAATTGTTTGGAAATACTAAGGTTTTCAGGATGTGGAAAGTGAAAATGGGTCTGCCAGTGGGTCAAGAGGAAGGGGAAAGGCTAGAAAACAGGGGATACAAGCATATGGGTTACACATCAGCTTTGACTGTAAGTTCTAAGGGCCAACTCCAGTAAACTTTGGGGGAGGGGGGGTAGTTTATTCAAAAGAGACAGGGTTCTGAAGGAGGTGTTCAACAACCAGGCCTGGGAAGCCAGGACCAGGGCAGCTATAGAAGCCAGGGTGGCTCTAAGCCAGTTGCCTTCTGTGGTCAGTAGTGACTCCATCCCAGATTCAAATTCCCTAGGAGAGAGTTTGTTGGATGTGTCTGGGATCCTGTGCCCACCCTTTGAGGTGGATGGTGGGGAGCATCCCCATGGCTGACAGCCTCACCAGGAATGCCTGGAATTGGCAAGGCAGAGTTCCCTAAAGGAAAATTGAGTTTCCGTTATCCAAGGAAGGAGGAGTGCTGGGCATATTCATACAACAGATGTTCACTACACATGGCATGTCGATTTACAGAGGAGGGAGATGAGTGGGGTGGGGTATGGGAAATTGCAGGAGATTCCAGAATCTGCCATGGGGGCCAAGGCTCTTTCTCCAGCCCTGGATTCCATCTCTTTCTCTCCCCTGTAAAAGCAAGCTCAGGGAAAGAACACTATTTTTCTGTTCTTGACAGCCTGATAGAATTGTCTCCTTAGCTTCCAGTCACGCTCTGCTCTCCTGCTAGAATCATTACCACCCACCTGTTCTCCATGCAGGAATTCACAGCCAGTGGACACACATCTGGCCTGCAAAAGACATGCTTGGAAGTCTCCCCAACTGCTTGGAACAGGCTGGGGACAGCATAGGGTCAGACACCAATTCAAAGGCAAGCAAACAGCTGGCCTGAGAGCTGTGGTCATTATGGCTTAAGTGGTGACCCATCCTTACCCCACCAGGCAGCTTGATGAACACAGGACAGGTGTGCCCTGGGACTCAATACTGGGTCCTGTACCTGGCAGCCCTCCCCACCCCCACCTGCTTCACCAGTGTTGATTTTAGGGGAGGGGGTGACTCTTACCTTGCCTTTCTTGGGATTCTTTTGTTTTCCTTCCCATTACTGTCCGCATCATTCCCTTCTGAGTACCCTGGAAGTTCAGAAAAAGCCAGGTAAGGTTCTAATGGGAAGAGTCCATTAAATATTGTGTTTTGGTGGTGAAAGTAACAGCACCTAAGTTTTAAATATGTAAATCAAAACTGGACAGGGCCTAGAGACTGTAGGTCCGTGCTTCTCGAACTTTTTCAAAAAGTAGCAAGAACCTTTGTGCAGTATTTCAGCATTCAGCAAATACTTACTGAGTGGCTACTGTGTGCTAGGCGCTGTGCTCGGGGACACAGCAGGAGCGACACAGACCCAAGCCTCACAAATCTCGTGAGTTTACAGTCTAGTGGGGGAGGCAGACATTGAGCAAATAATTGGGTAAGTAGATCAATAATGAGTTACAACTGAAGTAGAGCTATGAAAAAGTTGTATGCAGCTAGGTGGCCTATCACCAAGTTGAGAGATATTGGGGGAGGCATCCCCAAAGAAGTAGGACATAAGCAAAGAGCTAGAGGGAAGATGGTCCAGACAAGACACATTACAAGAAAAATCCCAGAGGCAAGAAAACACTTGTGTTGGAGGAAGTTGTAGATCATTTTTGGGGAGCCAGGTAAGCAGGGTAGCTCAGACGAAGATGAAGGGATGTAGGCACCAGACCACCAGGGCCTCATAGGCCAACTCAGTGATGACATTGAAACTGGGGAGCCACTCCAGCTGAAAAGCGCCCTCCCCCAATTCTCTACCCCCCAACACACACTCATCCCCTTGCCCTGTAGCCTCCAAGGCATCTCAGAGGAACCATGCAGCTTATCAGAAACAGCTTGGAAACCCCTAATCCAGCTCTACTTGGCATTTTCAGATGAGAAGAGTTGAGTCTTGACAGTCATCCACTCCCCCAGTATCCTCTCTCTTAACTCTGGGCACCTATCCCAGCCTCCCTGGAGAGAAGGCTGGCCGGGTGTGATCTAGGGACAGGCTCCCAGAACACTGCACGTCTCAATGCTTCAAGAAGGAGCCTCAGGAGCCAGTCCAGCATCTGGCATGAGGAATGGGTTCCAAAATGGGATCTTGTCCCTTGCCTGCCCCTGGGGCTCTCAGAAGATTCCCCCTGTGCTTGCTGCCAGAGTCCCTGACCCTCCCCTCCCAGACCCTTCCCCATCACTCATCCCCAGTCAGGGGAAGGCTGCTGGCCAGGATGGCAGAGCCTGCTCAAGCTCCGGCCTCAACATTCCTCTTCACCCGAGGGTCAGGGTCAGCTGTAGGGTATTTTCCCAAGCCATGGGGAACAGAGGCGCCTCCTGACATGTACAGTCACTCTTCCGGGCTGGAAGGGCAGCTACCAGCGAAGACGGGCTAGAGAAGAAAGCAGTCTGCTGGCTCTTAGAGAAGAGCTGCAAGGGGAAAAGGGTTGGGGAGCAGGGGCCTGAGAGGAAGTAGAAGTAGAACCTGGTGATGGGAAATGGGGTGCATGTCTGGGATCTGAGCTGAAGTGGGGGTTTTCCTGCCCCAATCCAGTTTGTCCTCATCTAATTAACCCCAGAGTCTGGCCTCTCTGAGACCCTTGCTGACCTTTGCAATTCCTGGGACAGGTGCCAAAGGCAACCACCAGCCTGGAGACAGCAGCAGTACCCCAAGCCCCCAGCAGGGTCCAAGCACACAGGCATGGCCGAACTCTCTGCAGCCCTGCAAGGGGCCAAAGGACAAGCAGGTCAGGCCAGTGAGAAGGTTCTGAAGGTGAAGGGGGAGGTGGACGTAGTTGAACCCAGGCTGGATCCGAAGAAGCCATGAAGAGAGGTCTCTTGGGCCTAGAAGGTGGTTTCATCAGCCAAGGCTGGTGTATGGCAGAACTGTGGGAGACCTGGGTTCGATCCCTGGGTCAGGAAGATCCTCTGGAGGAGGGCATGGCAGCCCACTCCAGTGTTCTTGCCTGGAAAATTCCATGGACAGAGGAGCCTGGTGGGCTGCAGTCCATGGGGTCGCAAAGAGTCAGACATGACTGAGTGACTAAGCACTCACCCGCATATGGCAGAACTGGGCCACATCAACCTTCTCCCTCCTGCTCTGTGAGCGTCAGACTTCTGTCATCCTGCCATCTGTCTTCAGGGGAGGGCAGATATAAGGACATGAGGGAGCAGGTGTCAGAGGCCTGACTTCCTGCTGCTCGCCGTTTTAGCTGTGGCATCTGCAGCAAAGATCACAATCACCTCCCTGAGACTCCACTTTCCCTTCTGTAAAAATGGGATGAATACTTCTAGACAATGACATGCTAGTGGAACCTTCCAAGAGGTGGTGTCCAGTAGGCAGAGTTAATTAAAAAATAATAATAGTGAGACCTACCTCATTGGACTGTAGGAATGACAATGAGAAAACAAGGGAAAGACCTCAGCGATCATTTAGTTAGCCATGGTTTTAAACCCCATCTCCAAGCTAGAGAGGCTGGACTGGATGGTGGCTGGTGAGGGCCTGAGGTCGGGAAAAGAAAAGAGAAAGAGGGAAGCCAGACCTCACAGCACACCCCAGCCAAGAGCCCGGGCAGACAGCGTCTCCCCCAGAGGAAGGGCTGGTGTTCTTTACTCCGCTGCCCTCTGGCAGGCACTGAGCTCCTGTTTTCCTCATTAAGTGTGGCTGTAACCTGGCTCCCTTAACACTGCTGACATAAGGTCCAGAAACAGTTCAGAGTGCCCGAACAGACAGCATCACCTGCTTTCAACATCACCTCCCAGCTGGACCAACAAGGCTGAGGGTGTGAGTGGCTGCAGACTGCAGGGAATCAAGGCAGATGGCACCGGGAATGGAAGCCACGACGCGGGGGGCCTCACTCTATGTCCAGCGATGCTCAGCATCACCACACGGTAAAAGAGGAAAAGCAAATATTTTTGAGTACACACTATTTGCCAGGCTTTGTGGTAAAGCACTTATGTGTATTATCTCACTGAATCCCCATAACAGCCCTAGGTCATTGACCCCCATTTTATGGATGGAGACACAGAGGCATAGGGTATTTAAGAATTTTAAACAAAGGGGCTTCTCATTTGTTGGGGAGGCAAGACTATAGGTTCACATCCCCATGAGAGAAGAGAACAGAATCTGAAATGGTCCCCCACAAACCCAAATAGCCGGCTTCTCATCTTCCCATCACCACCTGCCTCAGTTTCCCCAGGTTTCTAGCTTCCACCATGCTGACCAGGCTCAAAGGGCAGCCCTCACCCACTGTTCTAGGGCTAGACATGTTCATTTTCCCAAAGTTCAGCCAACACATGGCTAGAATTTTTTAAAAGGAGCTTATCTAGAAAACTTGAAAAGAGAACAAAATTAAAATATAAAAAGCCAAGAATCTGGGAAGAGAGGAGTTTATAAAGCAGTTTTCACGTTCCAAGATAAGGAAAGTAATGACAGCTACTAGTTGTGCCAAGTGTCCGACACTATACTATGCTCTTGATATATGTTATTTTCTTTTATCCTCAAGGGCAACCGATGAGACAGTTATTATTATCCACGTTCCACAAATATGGAAACAGATGCTCAGAGAGGTTAAGCAACTTGTCCATGTTACACAGCTTATAAGCATCAGAACTAGGAGCCAAACAAGACTTTGCAGTTAACCACCTAGACATAGAAGATGAGTGTGGTGGGCACGACTCTCCCAGCTAACAGGCCTCATTTAGGTCTCATGAAGGTGTTTGACAAAGCTACTCAAACTCGACACTGAAGGGTTGCAGGTTGGCCCCACTGTTTCCTCTGATCGATTTGTAACACTTGCTCAGGAAAGAATTATAATACTTTTCCTCCTGGACAAGGATGGAAAAACCTTGGCAAGTCTGTGCCTTTCATTTCTCTGTTTTCTAGTGCCAACTTATGTCGACCAAAACAAAGCAAAGCAGAAAAAAAACAAGCCAATATGTTGAAACTTTTGTACTTGTCTTTCATTTCAAATTACCCTCATGACACGTTATGGTTTCCACAATGTTTCATTGGTTAATGGCTGGACCAATGTTTCCTGAAGTCTGGAGATACTGTGAGTGAAGATTTTAACCCAGCGCTGGGCACATAATCATCATTAGATATGTCGTTGTTGTGATCACAATGCTTCCTGTGATCACATCCCGAAGTCACTCGATATAAAACAATATAAAATTAGGTACTGATTGATTGGGCTTCCCAGGTGGTAAAGAACCCACCTGCCAATACAGGAGATGTAAGAGACGTGGGTTCGATCCTTGAGTCTGGAAGATCCCCTAGAGGAGGGCTTGGCAACCCAGTCCAGTATTTTTGCCTGGAGAACCCCATGGACAGGGAGCCTGGCAGGCTACAGTCCATAGGGCTGCAAAGAGTCAGACACGAGTGAAGCGACCTGGCATGCACACACGCACTGACTGAACAGCTGATACCAATAGCTATCAGTGAGTAATGTTTACCGAGTAGTTACTGCATGCCAGGTTGCAGTCTGGGTCGCTTACACACATTGTATCTTTTTAATCTTCCTAACAACTCAATGAGATAGGAATTATTTTCATTTCCCTTTTACAGATGATGAAACCAAGGCCTGGAAATATTAAGTAACAAAGTCACACAACTCCAAATGGCAGGGCTGAGATCTGAATCTAGACGGCTACATTCAGAACCTGCCAGGAAAACCTCTAAACTCTATACCTCTGATGATGCATCTGACAATAAGACTATATTACAGGGGATAGAAGGGAGATGTCGTTGTGTGCTGAGGTGGTCAGAGAAAGTTTTCTGGAGGCTGTGGGCTCTATGCGACCCTGAAGAAAGGACAAGGTGGGTAAAGCAAAAGAGAGACATGTTTTAGAAAACAAAATTTTGGTATTAAAGGGGGAAGGGGTGGGGGGTAAATTAAGAGTTTGGGTTGGTAGATACAAACTACCATGTATGACATATATAAACAACAAGGTCCTACTATATAGCATAGTGAACTATAGCCAGTATGTTGTAATAAACTATAATGGAAAAGAATATGAAAAAGAATATATATTATATATTTCTATGTGTATGTATTTATGTAACTAGATCACTTTGCTGTACACCAGAAACTAATACAGCATTGCAAATTAACTTTACTTCAATTCAAATGAGAGAGAGAGATATGTTTTAGGCTGGATGGTGATCCCTGAAATCTCATGGGACCGCAAAATGGGACATCAGGAAGTCCCCTATCCTTAGAACACAAGGGACTGCTTCCCCTCTGAAGTAGTGTTGTTTGGAAAACTTGACTGTTTAAGAAAGGACTCGGAGCATAAGCAGGAACCTGTGAGGTCCTCCTGGAGCGTCTAGCATCAGGATGGAGAGAAAGGCTGGCAACAGATCCCCTGGGAGATTTGGCAGAGGGTTGGCCAGAGTGAGATTGACTGATCATCACCCCTGCCATGATCATCTCCACACTGACCACTGGTGTGCTTTGAGGAAGTGGTTTTATTTTGCCAGGACTGTGGTAGGGTTGCCCTGGGAGGTATGAATGCAGAAGGGCCTGTGGGCCTACATGCCTGTAGGATTTCACAGAAGCCTTAGGGAGAAGCTCAAACATCACACCTAAGCCCTAGAGATGGTGGGGCTGGGGCAGGCACAGGGGTGGAATTTAATCCAGGGGGCCCCACAGTGCTTCCTTGCCGAGGAGCTGGTTAAGGGGATGGCTCCAGGGAAAGTGAGGCCGGTGCTGGCCAACAGAGGTCTGAACGGGAACATGTGTGCAACCCCAGGTCCAGGCCTGGCTCTCGCAGACCTGATGGAATTTCTGAGTGCGTCAGTAGAGCCACACCTGTCCCTTCTCACTGAACTCCAACCTGGGCAGGCTCAGAAAGGCTGCAGCCTAAGGCAGCCTGGAAAGAAGTGGCCAACACTTCTGAGCAACATGCTGAGGGCAGATGGAGTGAATAGCCTGGAGTGAATGGTCTGGAGGCTCCTCTGAGCAGGAACCCACATGAGAAGCCGATGACTCCCGTCTGTGCGCCCTCCAGGTCTCACCACACAGCGCGCTCTCTAGCTTTCTCTGTGGCCCAGTGTGTGTATGTTTTGCTCTCCTGTTACACTTCCAGTCGTTGTCACCCTAAGTGTGGTCCATAAACCAGGAGCAACAGCATCCCCTGGGAGCTCGTTAGGCATGCAGACTCTCATCACCGACACACTGGAGCAGAATGTGCTTACTAACAAAGTCCCCAGGGATCTGACTGCACATCAAAGTTTGAGAAACACTGCTCCTTGGAAACAGGATTTGTCTCCAGCAGAGCTGTCTTTGTACAAGTTTTTGTATCCCTGGTGTTCAGCAGTAAGTAGGTGCTCAAAAAATATACATTTTTAACTTTCTGTTTTGAAATGATTTATACTTAGAGAAAAGTTGCAAAGAAGTTGCAAAATTAATATGATACTCACACATGCCCTTTCTGGCTTCCCCTAATGGTCACAGTTTATGTAGCTATGGCACAATGACCAAAGTAACATGGGTAAACTAACAGAGTTATGAGACCATTAACAGAACCACAGACCCTTTCTAAATTCATCAGTTTGTCCCCTAATGTCTTTCTCTTCTAGGACCTTTAGTGGCATTTAGCTGTTGGGCTTCTTCCGTCTCCTCTAATCTGTGATAGTTCTTTAGTCTGTTCTTGTTTTTCATGACCTTGACTCTTTCAACGAGTGCCTCTCAGTTATTTTTTTAGTCTGTCTCTCAGCTTGAGTAGGTCTGATGTTTTCCTGTGATTGAGGTCATGCATTTTGGGTAAAAAGACCATGGAAGCAATGCTGGATCCTCCTCACCATATAAGAACACGTCTGTTACTGATGACATGAAACTTGATCACTCGGTTAAGCTTATGTTTGCTGGGTTTCTCCACTGGGTTTCACTACTGTAAAGTTATTGTTCTCCTTCCCTTTGTAGTTAGTAAGTTTCTTGGTAGGGGGAGAATTTTTGAAACTATGCAAATATCCCGATTCTCCTCAAACTTTTTCCCACTGATTACAGCATCCATCACTGGTGGATCTTGCCAATGATTATTACTATTGTGTTTGCCTAATGGTAATTTTGTATTTCCTTCATTACTTCTATATTTATTGGAATTCTTCCATTAAAAAAAAAAGCTGTTCCTTCTTCCTCATTTTTTTTTCCCAGTATTTTTTAGACTTCAGTTGGAACTCATGGCTACTCATTTTATTCTATGGGTTACAATCCAGTGTTATTATTTTCTTTTGTTGTTCACATTGCTCCACCCACTGGAAGCTCCCACAAGTTGGCTTCTTGTTCTGCCATGCCCCATCCTTTCCCAAAGACTTCCTTCTTTTCTAGTACCATGAGATGTTCCCGTCTCATTTGATTCAGTAAATATTTTTGAATGACTGACAGAATGAAAAAGAAGGTTTATGTATAGAGACTCAGCCCCTCTGCGATTCCCCAACTAGGAAGCTGTATCCAATTCATTTTTTTATTGGCGTATAGTTGCTTTACAATGCTGTGTTAGTTTCTGCTGTAACGCGAAGTGAATCGGCTGTATTCACTGATACACTGATATCCTCTCTTTGTTGGATTTCCTTTCCATTTAGGTGACCACAGAGCAGCTGGCAGGAACAGCAGGAGCTGTTCCCAGGTTTCACAGAATCACTTACTTCTACTCCCCTTTGAGAGTCGAGGAAAGCTGGAGGAACTCTTAACCTAAAGATAAAGCAGTATCCATAGAAATTATAGTCTGAGAAATTCATCTGCCCTAAAAATCCAACATGTGGACTTGCCACATCTGCTGAGCTCTATGAGGTAGTGCTTACGAACACGTGTGCTGGAGCCAGATGCCTGGATCAGGACACTAGGTCTGCTTCTTGCTGTGTAGCTTTCCTGTGCCTCTATTTCCCCATCAGATGGTAACAGTAACTTGCCATGGAATTGCGTACTGGCTAAATAACTTTAAATGTTTAAACTGCTTACAACGGTCTAAGGTACACTGAGCAGTGAATAATCACTAGCCAGTAGTCTGGGGTTTCCACCAAATAACTCAGCCTGCTGAAGCGTGCACTATTGTGCTGTGTTTCCACCACCGAGCAATGTTACTAGTCTCTGCTCTCATGGAGCTTACCTTCTCCTGGAGCAAAAATAGTCTAGCCCAACATAAAGATTGCAATACTTTTTTAAGACAGTAGTGGGCCGATGGGAACAGTTGTGTTTCAAAACCATTCACACTTTTCCGGTGAAAGTAATTTTCCTCGTGGTGTCATGGGATGGAGATCTTAGCCAATCAAAGCATTATGCCTTAGCCACAGGGATTAGTTGAGGCCGGGATACATCCCCTCAGCACCAGAGAGGCTTTTGCACTGAGGCTCCTAATGGTTAGAACCTGTGAGCAAAGAGCCATGGGGCAGAGGACTTGGCCTGAGAATAAGCCACTGCGGTTGAGGGTGGAGCCAAGAGTGGAGGGAAACCAAGTCCAGATGGTGTTGAGAATGGACCGTAGGTCTGTCCTGTTCTCCACTTTTCAAGCAGGCAGCCAACACATTCTCTTTTACTGCTCATTACTGAGGAAGTCCTGAGTTTACTTCAGTCCTGAGAAAGCTGATGCTTAAGCAGAAAGCTGAACGCTGTTCTGAGCCTCTGCTCTTCTTCTGAGCACGTCTTCATCTCCTGCCTCGTCCCCAGGTGTAAACCACTACCAGCACCCTGACACACACACACACACACACACACACACACACACACACTCCACCCCACTTCCCACCTCCGGCCGGCTCGCGTCAGCTTCCTCTCCAGGAGACCCCCGCCCCAGGATAGTCATCAGCCTCCCCTCCACCTCCCTCCAGAGCTGGAGCACCTCCCTCATGCTCACCTAGACCCTCCCACCCCCCAAACTCTTCCACCCAGGCCTCACCTTGGAGCGCCTGGCTGAATCCCCAGCCTTCAGTTTTGCCCAGAGGGCAGGGCTGAGGGAGCCACGGCCACCGCCGGAGTCACACAGGCTTACAGCCTAGAAGCCTGCCTCCCTTTCCATCACCTGATCTGTCCCCGGGGTCTTCCTGCAACTTGGGGACATCGGAGCTCTCCTGCCTCCAAGTCCTCGTAGGAGCTACATCCTAAGGGCAGACCAGGGGAACCCAAACCTCCACTTCCTTTGGGAAAATCTCCATCTTCCTTCTCCAAGAGTCTCAGGAATTTGCTGTCTAAGCTGCTTCATCATACCTTGACTACGACCTTTCCTGTGCTGGCCTCTAACCCCTCTCGTGTTAACTTTCACTCTATCATCCTCTTTGACTGACTGGGGTCTTGATCGGCTTGGGCTGCCGTAATGAAATTCCGTGGACTGGGTGGTTCAAGCAATGGAAATCTATTTCTCAGCCTGGAGGCGGTGAAGTCGGGGCTCAAGGGCCAGCAGATCCAGGGTTTGGTGAGAGCCACCTTCCTGATTTCTTGCTGTGTCTTCATACAGCAGAGAGGGTGAGCGAGCTCTGGCCTCTTCTTCTTCTTAGAAGGACACTGATTCCGTTATGAGACCTCCCCCCTACCCCACTTCCAAGACCTCATCTAAACGTAACTACCTCTCAAACCCACCTCCAAGTACCATCAAACTAGGGATTAGGGCTCCAAAATATGAATTCTGGGGAGGATACAAACATCTGGTACACAGCAACTGGACTGTAAGCCTAGGGGACTGTTCAAGGAACACTGAATGAAGAATCAGTGGTTGAATACATAAATTATTGTTTGTATTTATTTACTTATTGACTGTGCTGAGAGCTGTGTGGGATCTTAGTTCCCTAACCAGGGATCCCCATCGGGGATCGAACCCAGGCCCACTGCACTGGGAGCACAGAGTCTTAACCACTGGACCACCAGGCAAGTCCCAAATACATGAATTATTGGATGGATGGTGAAATGAGTGAGTGAATGACTAAATGAATAGACTAATGAGGAGAGGCAGTGGTAGGACTGGATCAAAAAGCTCCTACAGAGAGGGTGGGGCTTGGGCCCAGGGAGGGGAGAAGCAGAGAAAGGAGACTTGCAAGAGGATGGGCAGCTACCACAGCAGAGTAGTGGGAGGGAGACACGCCAGGCTCGGGCCTGGACTCGTTTACAGAGCCCGTTTATTAGTTTTTCAAACTTTTTTTGTTTGTTTCTAAGTGTCGTTTGTCAAGAACATTGTGCCTCTCGCTTTGCCCTGGCCGGTCTAGACAGCTGGGGGCTCCGCTCTCACGCATCGCTCCCCAAGACGTGGGGAGGACAGCTGGCCGCAGCGTCGTCACGCCCTGGGAGGTCCGGGGGTCTCGGGGCACCTGCCAGAGCCTTTCAGCGTGGACTCCCAGTCCTCTCCAGCTCAGAGCCAGGGAGGGAGGTGCTGTATCTCCTCCCCTTCTCCACCGTCTCCCCTGTCTTGCCTGATTACACAGTGGCGCTGCTAGAACCTACAGGACGCGAGTCCACACAACTCGAGAGCCACAGGCCATCCGTGTGGATTTGCAGCTCCCAGTGCAGAGCCGAGGTTTGTCTGGAGTGGACTGTGGCTCTGGAGAAAAGGCCTGGGGGATGCACATCCGCCAGGCGCGGGGTGCAGCCGGGAAGCAGATGGCGCATCGCTGCACCAGCCCCTCAGGCCCACCTTGGGGAGCTTGGTTCTTTCCCTGCAGAGGTGTGATGGGTGCGGCTGCGCTCAGACGTGGGAGCCCCAGCTCAGGGCCCCGTCCTCTGTCTCTCCTTCCTGCACCGTTCTCCCTCTCTGGCATCCCCATGGGATGTCTCTGTTTCCCGTCCCCTCTGTGCCTCTCCCTGCCTCTGGCTCTCTTTATCTCTGCGTACCGCCACCCCCGCCTGCCCCAGTCTCTCTCATCCCAGTCTTCGTTCGCGGCCTGCCTCACCCCGTGTCTTGGTCTCAGACAGTCTCTGACTCCATGTCTGCCCTCAGCCTCTGCTCGGCCCTCCCGCCCCGCTCCTGGCTGCCTCCCAAGGCCCTAGTGCCCCTACCCTCCCTGCTCAGACCAGTCTGCCAGTCAGTGCGGGCCCCTGGAGTGAGGGACAGGAAGAGCAGGCCGGGGGCAGACTGCGGCCCCTGTTCCATGAAGGAAAACGATTTGAAGCCAGGGAGGCCTGGGCAGGCTGAGGCCAAGAATTTCTCACTTACCCGCAGGGCTGGATATTTAGTCTGAGTTGGGGAGGGCAGGTGGCAACCGGCCTGGAGCTCCCCGGGGGCCTGCAAGCGCAGCTTGGCTGCGGCCCCTCCCCAGCTCGGGGTCCCCTTTAGGGTGACATCTCCCTCTGCCTCCTGGCCCAGACCCCCCCACCCGACTCCTGCAGCAGTGAGAGGTGGCCCAGACAGGTGCCGGGGTCACTGTCCCCCACCCAGGACACAGAGCCAGGTGAGGGGCAGGCAGGACCGGATGGGGTGGGCTTGGTATCCCTCAGTGCTCTCCCAAGATCTGGGAGCAACACGTCCCTCTCAACCCCGGCAGGGCCTCAGACAGTCTCCAAAGGCCAATGTGCTTTTCCTTTGGCTTGTGTGCTGTCTAAATACTTTATCCAATTGCTATGGCTCCACCTCCAGCTGCCTTATTTTCCTGTATGGGGCCGTCCACAGCCCTCTGAGCTCTCAGGCAGGACCTTGGGACCACTGGGGGCACATTCCAGAGACTGCCCGCGAGCTCCCACCCTGACGTTAAAAACTCATATACTGGCTGAGAATGCTACGCGGTTTGGTGGGAGCTGGAGGGACATGTTGAAAACTATTCCCAAATAAGCTGCTGTCACTCCCAGGAGACCAGGATGGTTAGAGGGCAATTTCACAAACACTCCTACAGGACGTGAATGAGGGTGCTGTCAGAATACAGCTGGGGCCCGTCCCGGGGCCCGTCCCCCCCCCCCCCCCCCCCCCCCCCCCCCCCCCGCACCGCCGGCACTCTCCAAGCCTCTGCTCAGGGCACTGAGCGACTTCACTTTCCCTTTATTTTTCAGGGGTGCCCTGTCATTCCTGGGCCAGCGCTGAGGGGCATCGCCATGGTGCCGTATCAGGAGGCACAGTCCCCGGAGGCCTGGCATTTAGTGAGATGGCCGAGCCCTTGGTTCTGGAACCCTTTATGAACTGGGTGCCTATTTTGTGCCCACGCTGCACTAGGCAGTAGGTAGGAGAGGTGAGCCGAGACAGAGTGCCTCGGCTCAGGGAGGAACCAGACGGGCGGAGAGGCCCGAGGTGGTGGGCATGAAGGGCCTGCGGTGGGTCACCGCAGTGGTCTGTGGCTTCAGTTGCTGCACCCACGACATGGGGGCAACATGGAGCTGTTTTGAGGCGTCACTGAGATCATCAATACATGGTGACTGGTTGCGATAACAAACCACGAGTAAGAAGCAGGCAGCTAGAGGGGTTAGCAGTGGCAGATGGGACGGGAGCCCAGCGTGTGCTGTTGGTGCCCTGCCCACATGTCCTCGGGGCCCCGTGTCACTCCGGGACCCCCGTCAGCACCTACCTGTCCCCGGCTGCTGGAACCTGTCCCCAGCTGCCTGCGTGGAGGTCAGCGAAGTGCCTTCCCTCAGTCTCTATGTGCCATGTGCTAAGTTTTTCAGTCGTGTCTGACTCTTTGCGACCCCATAGCCAGTAGCCCACCAGGTTCCTCTGTCCATGGCATTCTCCAGGCAAGAACACTGGAGTGGGTTGCCATGTCCCCCTCTAGGGGACCTTCCAGACTCAAGGATCGAACCCGTGTCTCTTACGTCTCCTGCTTTGGCAGGAGGGTTCTTTACCACCTGGGAAGCCCCTCAGTCCCTGTGGGCAGCCCCTAACCCCCAGCTGTGGTGAGGGCTACAAACACCTCCGTCTCCCAAGCTCCCGGCACGCTGGGCCACTCCCTTCCCACCTCCTGTGGCCTCTTGCTTGACCTCCCATCCCCACTGGCTCGGCCTCTCTCTCTTCTCAATCTCCCTCCCCCACTCCTGGGAAGATCGTGAAGAATTTCACTTTCACATAAATCCTTGTTGCGGGGCCTACATCTGGGGAAGCAGGGTGAAGTAAACACCCAAGTGCCAAGTAAACATTAGGAGGTGTCCCCTGCACTGTGGGAGCCAGTCTTCCTGCAGAGCCTCCCTCTGGCCCAAGGGGGTCCTCCGGAGTTCCTAAGATCAGTCCCAGTAGCCTTCTGACTCTGCGGAGATCTCTGCTCCCTCAATTTGAGCTCGGCAAAGGCCAGGGCCATGGGAAGTGTGCCTGTAGCTCTTAGCCCTCAGTTCAGGAAACCGTCTGAGCTGCCAACTTCAGGAGTATCTGTGTCCACCCCCAGGGGCCTGCACAGGGTGCCAAAAGATGGCTAAAATTCATATTTGATTATTGTCGCCTTTCTCTCCTGGGAACTCCAAATGGGTAAGCTGAAGTTAGATCTTGTTTGTTTTTTTAATGTTTAATTTTTTTTTTATTTATTTGGGTGAACCAGGTCTTAGCTGA